TTTATTTTTTTTACACACTAAACCGATTAATTAGAACATTATTTATTGAATTGCTCAAACCTTACTTTTCCATTTTCTCCTAAAAATTTCACCTTGATATTTTTATTATTATTTCATTTCATGGAGATATTTGATGAGTTCATCTGTTCCTACCGGTCCTTCCTCTTTTTAGTTATTGCGGGAAATAAAACCGAACAAATCTTATCGTATGTTAAAATCTTCCAATTCACTTATTGAAACCATCAAATATTTATTTTCCTTTTTTTCCTTTCATTTTTTTTTTATTTAACTTAAACTGCAGGTTTTTTTTTCGTTTTTCGAACGGAATTTTCAAATTCCAGGACATATTTATGTGTTCTAATGTGCGCAGATATGAGTATGGCCGTGAATGTGTGGATGTATTCTGAAACATTTTCAATTTCAAAATATTCTTTAATTAATTTTATAAAGCTTTAAAAGACAAATAATGTTAGGATGTTTTCTATGATATTCATTACATTATGCATATTATTTTCGTGGCAAAAAAAAAAATTAGAACTAAATTAACTGATAAAAAACATAAGCAGTACAATTTATCTTAATTTTTGCATAATCAAATTTGCAGAGGTCATATTGACTGGTAAGAAATATGAGTGATGCTGCGTACCATTTAGTTTTTTAATCTCCCATAATCAATGTAAATGAATATTAGATAATTAAATGAATAAAAATTAAATAAAAAAAAAAATTAAATGAATATTGTAACAGTTGACAGGAAGAGATATAAGTAATACTGTATGTTTTATTTTATCATAATGATATATCGTCATTTACTTTACAATTAATTGTTCATAATAACTGTTAGCTGTTTTCTTATTATTCAAGAAGGAGAAATGAATGAATGAATGAATGAGATGGATAAAAAAGGGAGGAACTTGAAAGGAATGAAATTAAGAAATGTTAGAAGGATAATGATGATACAATCAAGCCTCGCTAAAACATTCCATCATATTAACTCAATCTGAGGTTTTTTTTTTCGTCCTCCTTCTCCTCTTTCCTCTCTCTTTCACCCTGTCCCTCTCTCTCTCTCTCTCCCTCTCTCCCTCTCTTTTTTCCCTTTTCAGCATTTGCATTAAATGCGATTTTGTTAATCCAAAAATAAGTCATTTAATATTTTTGCCGTTAAGTTGATGATGCATCTTTTTCACTTTCATCATTCCACCAATAGTTTTTTTTTTCTCCTCTTTTTTTCCTTCCTCTTTGATAAATGTTGATTAAAATTTTGGAGAACCCTTTTGACATCCTTTTTGAACCTTTCATTTAATATTTTCTAGCTGTTAATAGCTAATATTCAACGTTATATTATTATTTTGAATTTTATTAACTTCTCTTTGCTCATCTTTCACTGGAGGGGAGAGAAAATTGTGATATCATATTGCATAAAAAATATTTATTTCAGTTTCTCATATTTAGTAAGCAATCAGATATGTTTATCAGTTTGTGATATAAAATATTGCTTATATCAATTTATAATAAAGAAGAAGCATTTACGGTTAAATGAGCAAGAGAAATGCTTATTGAAAATTTTTTAAATTAATTATGACTACGTTTATCGAAAAATTTTTTGTAAATAAATTTTTGAACGAAATTAGGAAAATATTTATTAATGATTAATAATAGTGGAATAATAAATGCTATTAATATTTAACAATAAGTATTATTACAGTTCTAATGATTTTGTAAATTTGTATGAAGTTATAATAATTCATTTCTGGAAATCATTTTTCGGAAAGAATTCATCGTAAATGATTAAATGAAACAAATTTGCTTATTTAATTATGGTAGAAAATTAACCTTATTGAATGTTCTTAGAATATTTATTTAAAAGATAACAATGATTTTATCAGAATTGAATATGAGCGCAAAGTATGTTTTTTTTTTTTTTTTTTATTAAGAACTAAACTGAAATGTTTGAAATTTTAATGAATATGGTGAATTTATTTTTATCTTCAGGAGTTCAAGTTTCATATTTCGAATCAAAAAACTGTTACTGCTGTTTGATGAAAGATCACAAAATATAATTGAATAATTCAGAGGTGCTGAATGAGAGCAAAATATTTAATTCTATTACGGATATTTGAAATATAAAATGAGAAGAATAAATGTGTGAAATTCATTTCATTCTTTCTCTTTTTTTCTTTCTTTAATTTGAAGACGAACGACAATTCACTAATCAATGCATTTTTTTTTTTTTTCATCCTTCTACCGATTTCAATTATTTATTATAATGATTATACAAATATGAAAATGTTTTCTCTCTAAATCCATAATTTCCTTTCCATTTTTTTCGGATTTTCTCGGGAAATATTTTGAGAAATTTTGCTTTCTTAACTAATAATATTTCATGTCATTTTTCACTTTAAAATTCTTTTTGTTTATGCTTTACATGTATATCTGTGTTTGCGCGTGTGTTTATGTCTGTTTGTGTGTGTGTGTGTGT